CTTTTTTTTAATTCACTAACGCTCTAAAAATGAATATTTCAGCCGCAGTAAAGAATCAACCGTTGGCGGATTTTGGTTCTTGACATCCTTTACGATCGGTTACGATGCCTAGAGTTCGGAGACCTGTACGATTTCGTCAACTTAGTGAGTTTGATAGGGGCCGTATAGTGAGACTTCGGGACGTAATACAGTAATAAATGTTTTTCATAGATGGCGCTGCGTGACTCAAAGGTCATTGATCCACCACTGATCTTGGAACGGCATTTGTCATTATACCGAATTCAACGACACTATTAACCGATTCCGTTTTTTTCCGGTTCCGCAACACTGAAGATCACTTCAAAAGCAATTCATATCTCAGACGAGTTATAATAATAATAATAATAATAATAATAATAAGTTTTGCAGATATAGTTTCCTAAATAGGTATTTTTGATTCTGACTCACCTAGACGATGAATAATAGGTGGATGCGGATACATTTACAAATATCGATGTTTAAGGACACAAAAATGGAGAATGTGCTGTTTGTTTACATTTGGTGTGGATTTCTAAATCATAAATTGGCAATAAAATTGTTTTTGATGTAAAAAAAGATGATGAACCAGTTGTAATACGTTTTAAATCCTTTTTTTGCAAAACAAAAAAAAATCGGTACATTTCTAGATGTACGTATTATGTACAACACCATGTATGTGATATCAAGATAAAACTATATTGCCATGCATGGACAGTCGTCAAAAACAGTGAAAACATCCTATTAAATAAAATAGCTAGAAAATCGACCTATTATTTCGCGCATTTTCATTGGTCCATTTAATAAGAGCCTGTCAACTGCGGTTACATTATTAAATGACGATCTTAGTAATTTGACAAATGAAAGCATAGCACATCAGTTATCTGTAAATCCAACCAAGTCAAATGTTTTATTGTTCGGGAAACATAAAAAGAGCGTGGCAGATTCATTCCATATTTCAATTAATAATAATGTTACTCCTCATACATCCGCTACTAGGGAATTTAGGCTTGATTATGGATAGTGACCTGAGGTTTTCAAAGCATGTTGATAAGTGCATTGGCCGTGCTTATGGTCAACTTAAAATGTTATTTCCACATCGTCATATCTTTTCTACAGAACTTAAGGCTTTGCTTTATGACACGCTTGTTCCGTCATTATTCAATGGGGTATTTTCCAACTTGGTCATATGGTCCTATTGATGGCTGAAATCGATTGTTTACACCATTTATCAATTGGTATACACTTTGCACGCGCTTTTTTCACTCATTTGCTGGAAAAAATACATTTGAAATTCATACCACCAAAATGGGTTCATTTAAACTTCTTGTATGTCCCTCCGAAAAAAATCAGCCAATAGGAATCGATTTTTTTAAAGATTCTCATAGAATGTGACGATATTTTATCAAGGATCAGAAGTTCACGACTTAGCAACGCTTCTTTATTCCGATCAACAATGTTGTCTCAATGGTGTACCTGTCTATATATGTATGTATAGCTGTAGGTCGACATAACTTGGCAACATGGTGGTTCAACAAGGGTCAAACCGTTGACTTTTGACAGTGACAGAGTGGCGTACCCTCTTTCGTGCTGTTGATTTTGTGTTATCCGTTTTGTAACCTTTATATATTGAATTCTTTTGAACATTACAACAAAATGTCTGTAAAAAAGTGTCTTATTACAGTTTGTTCAAACACAAGTATCAATTCGCCTGATAAAATATTCTTATCAGTTCCTATAGATCTTGACAGAAGGATTCTTTGGTACCAGGCTGCAAGTATTGAAGGTCCCATTCCTACCACTATGTTATACTGTTGTGAAGATCATTTTGATGTAAGTTTATTAACGGAGCTAAAGTTTTTCAAATTATATTAAATCACTGTTTATTTTCAGTTGGCTAATGATGCAGAAAATTGGCAGTATTACAAGACAATTGGGTAGAGGCGTGAAACCACACAGGAACCTGTCAGTTCAGAGTTCAGGTACGTCATAATTGAGTCCACCATCAAAAAAGAGGAAAGCTGAGATGTTAGAAACATCAGGACAAAAGCTTCAATGCCAGATAAAACCAAGGGCAACATTATTTGAGGAATCGCAGCCAGGTACAAGTAGAGATCTGCATCATGATGAATCTTGCCAGCAAAACTCGAGTATGCTACCCCTGAAGAAAGCAACCAAAGGAGTCCAAGTTAAAGTTGATACGAATACAGTGTCAACCAGCACACTACCTCATACTGCAGAAAAGGCTGTTGCCACTAGTCATCCCAAACTAAAACAATTGGTTGAAAAGTGCACAGGGATTTGTAGTGATAGCACTAATGGCTCATCCCCGCAGCTATCAAGCACTTCATCAGGAAGCAATGGAGCAAGACTTAAGACATCAAAAGAGGAACTAGAAATATCTAAACTAAATTAGAGAACAGTAGTCGGTTTTTCCTAGGTTTGCCGGAAGACTGTTTCTATATTGTAAATTTATTAGTTGAAGAAGTAGGACTGGATTACATTGATGTTTTGATCACAATGAAAAAAATTAGGACAAATGATCAGTTTTCAAGAATAGGAATTATTGATTGCTTTGAAGTTGAAATCGAAGAACCTTCAAATGCACTGCATCAGGCTAAAACATGGAGTTAATATAAAAACTGTAATACTATAAAGTATCTTGTGAGTTGTACTCCTAATGGGCTGATAAACTTTATTTCTAGTGGGTTTGGAGGACGTACAACTGATGTACAAAGTATTGAGAAATCAGACTTCATTAATTTGATTCCAGAAACTGCATAATAATGGCACATAGAGGTTTCAAACACATAGAAACTATACTGCATAAAAAACGCATCATTATTAAGACCTCCAAGCATTAGTGCGAAACAAAAACTGACCCAAGCAAAAGTTAATAAAACTAAAATAACAGCTGCTTTGAGAGTCCATATTGAACGGCTCATAAGGAGACTCCGTGAATTTGCTGTTAAGACCACATGTCTGTATACGGTCTAGAATAGTCCACCTGCTAGACCATGTGGTGATATCATTGTGTGTGGTTTAGTAAATTTACAAGAACAGCTCATCAAGAAATAAGTATTATTGCCATGCAAGTCTTGTTTTTGTCCATATTTTAATAGTACATAACTGCAAGTGCAAGATTGTTTTGTGGTATATTAATACTAACACAGTGAATTTCTATTAGTCACTTTTGTTAGCTACACATTGTGCACATCCATAAAGCCAAAGTATGAATAATTTTGTAAAACACCAATTTTTTTGAGGTTAAAATACTTGTATAGGACTTATTTGAGGCTGTTCTTTACGTAATATAATTGTTTGGAGTATCTATATTTTTTTATTCTCCTTACGACACATTATTATTAAGCAACCTCAAAATAAATAAATTACTCGAATTTACGAACGCTCTATGACATAAAAATAACTAATTATTTAGTAAAGTGTATACCTTGTGTATTAAATGTTTGAAAAGCTTATTAGATCAACAATGTTATGGAATTCAGGATTATTTTAGCTGGTCAGCTGGTGGTATATGTCAATATTTTTGTTCATCTACAAATACAATAAAAAATTTGCAGCTAACTACTAATGCAAATAGTTAAAAATTTTATTTTTAAACTTTGAAGCCGAGTTTTGTTACTTCTTGTTCAGAGAAAAATGTAAAATTACTCAATATATAATTTTTAGATGTAAAACTTCAATTTGAAACCAAAAATTTTTTTTTGGAAAATACCCCATTACTGTGACTCAGTTTATGGGCCTTGTATAACAAGGTATGATGTTGATCGTATACAGCGTGTCCAAAACTCTTGTCTTAGGTTTATTTTTAAAGTGAAAAAATTTTAACATATTTCTTATAAGTTACCTGTAAAAGGATGGCTAAATATGAAAGCCAGGACAAATCTGCACTCTGCAGTTTTGTTTCATAAAATTATTCTATATAAATCTCCGCCTTATTTATATAATAAGATTACATTTCGAAGTGATGTTCACAATATCAATATTCCGTATCGGAAGCTGATTTCCCAACCACGTCATCGTACATCTATGTTTAACTGATGTTTTTCTCATTTTATCTACCACTTGTACAATCACGTCCCCTTGAGTCTATGTCTGTGTCACCTTTTAAAAGAAGTTACAGAAAATTTCTATTAGACAAATTGTAGTGTTTACTTTATATTGTTGCTTTCCTTTTATATTTTAAATGTTATTTTTGTCAAATATGCCTAAAATGATTTGACCTTTTTCGTTAAATTATATTTTTTTATATAATTTCTTTATATACATATATTTTTTTGACATTTGTAATTATCATTTATTAATTATTAATATTAACTTATATAATTTGGTTAAGAACTCGTCTGTTGTAATTTTGTTTATTGGGCTAGTACTTTGATCAGCTCGTCTGTTTTGCAGACAATTCATGTTGTTTCTTCACTTTAAATTTTTTCTCTTTGAATTTTTTTTGCTCTGCAAATAAACGCTATTATTATTATTAAATGATAGAAATTGGAAATTGTATGAAAGTTATCCTAATTCTAAAGCTCAGACATAACATTACCTCTATAATATACCCTTATTTTTTATTTATTACGAGAACTTTAACAGCTTCCGTCAAATTGCATTTCGATAAGCTGCTCCCTTATTGGTGGAATTTAAATCTTCGTGAAATCGGCCCTTAATGTTTTAAATTGCTTTCAGTTGGACTAAACAGTTTTGAAATTGTAACGCGGAACCAGGCGTTTCATAAATAGCTTTAAGATCGAGTTTCTGTTTTCACCCCGCTGCCTCAGAAAGAGGGTTATCTTCGAGCGTATGTATGCTGAATGCATATAAGTTATAGAGCAGAAGATACACGTGGAAGGAGAAAATGCGTGATAAACTTGTATGCACTTACATTCTGACTACATACTACGTAATTATGGATCCGAACTAATAGCATGCTTGCTCCTGAATAATTTGAATTCGTTAGTTCGTCCTACCTTATGAACCCTCCCCAAGCGTTATGCGCGCCAGTAGTTTTTTGACGTGGGCTGTTGTCATTAGGCGTATTATTCCCAGAACCACGCACTTTAGCTTTCGCTTCTTGATATTGTCTACACAAATCCTCCACTTTCTTCTCAAGTGCTTCTATTTCGGGCTGTAAATAAGACAAATTTTAACTAAAGTTATTATAAACTTTCATAAGCACACATCACTATCTGACGAAATGACACAAAGATCAGATCAGATTAGGTTTCAGACCACCCAAGCTACATCTAGTGAAGTCGGAAATGACATATGAGACTCTTGTCGAGTGGCAACTTTTAAAACAGGAGTAATCAATTATCATGTCGCTTAATCACAGTATTGTCTAGCATTTGACATAATGGGTCATTTTAACGTAAAGGACGTTAACCTTGTTTAACAGATAATTTTCAAATGTTGTGAATAATGGTGTTTTATCAGGTTATAGGTCATTACCGAAACTGTTAACAGCAAGGCTTTGTTGTCAAGTGCTCATCTGGAAATTCATAAAATTCATCTAAAAGAGCAAGACCAATTAGAAATCATGTGGTATATAGAAAAAAAATGGTACATTAAACCTAATGTGAACAAAACCATAGGTACAGTTTAAAATAAATATATAATATAAATTTACTCCATGATTAGATACATAACATTCATACATACAGTGTGGCCCAGATTCGCCTCTCTATACAGGGATCTCGTGTCCTATTATACGTACAGCAAAGGTTGAATAGGGAAAGTGTTGGAGGAAACTTAGTGCTTTCAATAGCCGGCTTCAGATTTACGATAGGTCAATTGGTTTTGAAAATATCAGCGAAAAACCGAAAATAGCAGTTTTTTGCCCGAAAATCCGGAACGGTTAATTTGACAGCTGTCGAAGTGGGACATTATTCCGACATTTTCTCAAGAAAAATGAGATAGCAACATTCATACATACAGTGTGGCCCAGATTCGCCTCTCTATACAGGGATCTCGGGTCCTATTATACGTACAGCAAAGGTTGAATGGGAAAAGTTTTGGAGGAAACTTAGTGCTTTCAATAGCCGGCTTCAGATTTACGATCGGTCAATTGGTTTTGAAAATATCAGCGAAAAATCGAAAATGGCAGTTTTTTGCCAGAAAATCCAGAACGGTTAATTTGACAGCTGTCAAAGTATGAAATTATTCGGACATTTTCTCAAGAAAAATGAGATAGCATGTATGACATGTCTCAATCGTCTTTTGTTTTCCAGCAACCCGCCTCAACTTTCATTTTTCTTATGGCCGCCATATTGGACTTTTTGTTTTCTGAAAAGAGTGTAAAATTTCCAGTCTAGTGATGTCTCACAAGTGCATAAAAGATATCATCACACATAATGTTATGTATTAGTTTTTTTCTAAGGAGGCCATGATTTATTTCTCAGAAAATAACAATGAGTAAGGCATAAAAAACACATAACGCCTTTAATTTTCAATAGATTATTTAACGTTAATATCGTCTTCTCAACAAGTCAAATGTTTTGGGACAAATTCCCAACTATGAATGTGTTAAAAAAACAAACCAGAAAAATCGTTGTAAATTTATTTTACACTTGAACAAACATTTTACAAAATTGTAATGTAATGTAAAATCCAATTATGTAAGTGGATATTAATTTACCAGATTTGCAAAATAAGGACCATTTGCATCCAGACAATTTTGAAAATTGGTGACTGTTTTTCGTACAACCTTAGCTAGTGTATTTCTGTTAATGTTTTTAACTGTCCTCGAAATTCTTTGTCTCAGGATTTCTATGGTCGCGGAAGGATCAAATTCATAGACCTGATTCTTTGTGTGATCCCATAGGTAGAAATCCACTGGTGGAAGGTCAAGGATCTAGGAAGCCAATATATCGAACCATTTAATGAAATTATTCTTTCATCAAACTGCTCTCTTAAGAAGTTCCTGACTTGAATGGTGTGAGAGCCGGACATACATCCTGTTGAAACCAGGTTCTTCTAAACTCATCTTCGGTTAGACTAGCTCGTAATGCCTGCACAACCTCGGTTTCCCAAAAGCTCTGTCCGTTTAGGCTGTAGTCAAACAAAAATGGTCCTGACATGATTAGTACCTAATTTCAAAGAGGTGGCCAATTAAAAAAGATAAGTTAGATTAAATTACCAATGACCTCACACCAAACGTTAGTTCCAAATCTGGTCTGTAGACGTCACTCTGCCACTTTGTGAGAGTTTTCCAGAAGCGCATTCAGTTTCCTTAAGTCCCTATTGTATGTTTGTATTGATGGTCCTTATTCTTATTAAACATATCTGTGCTGTTGATTTTGACACGCCAATTTCTCGTTCTATAGTTCTTACTGATGCACTAGGGATTTCGTTGACAGCTTGTAAAATGGTTCTGCCGCGATTTTCATTTTCAATATTGTATCCGCTTCTAGGTTTATTGAATTAACTACTATTTTTCTAAATTAGGTTTTATGAGGCTGCCGGTCGTTCGGGGTACATCTCCAATTACCTTGCTAAGATAATGTCGGCGTTTATGTGTGACTGCAAGTACAGCGTAAAATGTCAAACTTTTCTTCATTAAAGTAGGGAATACCGGCCATTTACAACAGGTTTTGACAATTTTTTTGGTCAGATTTACGATCTTAATGAGAGAAAATGTACCTACTACTTATTAAATCACAAATTTAATACTTTGAATTATTTAACGTCAAAGTGAGAGCCTCCTTAGATGAAAAAAATGCTTTATTAATCAAGTTTATTTTCGGACAAATAAATGATGGCCTCTTTAGAAAAGAAAAATAATACATAATAGTTCGTGTGATGATATTTCGATGATGCTCTGTTGTGAGACACTACTGTGTTAGACATTTTACGCTCTTTTCAAAAATCGAAAAATCCAATATGGCGGCCATAAGAAAAATGAAAGTTGAAGCAGGTTGCGGGAAAACAAAAGGCGATTGCGACAGTCATACACGCTACCTTTTTGACCTTAAAAAAATGTCCGAATAATGTCACATTGTGACAACTGTCAAATTAACCGTTTCGGATTTACTGTCAAAAAACAAAATTCGATATGTTCAGTTTTTCGTCGATATTTCCAAAACCAAATGACCGATCGTAAATCTGAAGCCGGCACTAAGTTTCATCTAAAACTGCCCCCATTTAACCTTTGCAGTAAGTATAACAGGAGCCGAGGTCCCTGTATAGAGAAGCGAATCTGAGACACACTGTATAAAGTGAAGTTAGTTAGGTCGTACATAAAAGTTTTGATAACCGACTTTTGTTGATATAAGTTGATAGGGAAATGTGTGCGAGGATTATAGAAATGGCTAACATAGCAACCGACTACAAGTTTCAAAACTAATTGACACACAAATACGTATCGCTCGGGTTACCTATCCTATTTTCTGCTCGAATCCACTTTCCTCCTTTTTGCGGATTTTGCCCATTATTTCATACTTTTTGTTAATATATATATATATATATATATATATATATATATATATATATACATATATATATATATATACAGGGTATCCCGAAAAAAGTGTGCAATATTCTACCAGCGGTTTCTAGAGCTTAAAATAAGAAGAAAAGTTTATATAAACATAGGTCGACAAACGTCCCCTAAGGGCGCTACGGTCTTTTAAAGGGGCTCCCCTGAAGATGGTTTTTCCTTAATATTTCCGAAACGTGTTGAGATAAAGACATAAAATCTGGTATTCTAGCCTAGTTTTTTATGCTGGATTTAATAATAATAATAATAACAATTTTAGATAGTTTTGTTTGGAAACGTATGTAACAGGGGCGGACTCAGATTATTTTAGCCCCAAAATTTTTGTGTGATTCTATTTTTGAAATTCAATTTTAGAATTAGAAAATTTAGGGTTTTCTACATAAAAAGGTACTCTTATGGAATATCGATAAATTGTACCGTTTTTGAATAAAATCAAACTAAAAAAATTGTCACATGATAGGAAATGTACTGCGAATTTAAATGAATTTTTGATTATACATAGTTAGACTGCAAACAAAAGTTGTTTTGATTTCTTATGTCTTATTTTGACGTTAAGCTGACATTGTTAGCAGTGTAAAATTATTAGATTAAAATCAAAATTAAATCGATTTAAAATGCCAAGATTTACAGACAGAGAACTGACTGGCATGCATTTTGTACGGGTTTTGCAATGGCAGTTCATTGGCAGCCGTAAGAGAATATTAAAGATTTCCCAATCGCATAGTACCTGGACGTCGAATGTTTACAGATATTCACAGCAATTTGTCAAACCATAGAAGTTTTCAGCGCATGCAAGGCTCAGGAAGGTCACACATCATCGTACGGTTATTGATTTAAATATGTTTGAAAATATTCCGCAAATAAGCATACGAAATGTTTCAGAAAATATGGATATACCTCGATCAATAGTAAGAAAAATTTATGAATACCTATTTGATAGGTATCCTAAAAATAATAATTTTAGATAGGAAGAATAACAAGAATGCAAGGATTACATCCTTATCATTTTAAACGGGTGCAGCATTTAACGGAGGCAGATTTTTTACCTACACTACTTACACTATTCCTAGAATGTTATGGTCGGATGAGTCAATATTTACTAGGAATGGTGCTTTTAATTTCCATAACATGCATCACTGGTCAGATGAAAATCCAAATTTGTTCGCCGTACAAATTTCCAACATAGATTTTCATTGAACTTATGGGCAGGAGTAATTGGGGATCAAGTAATTGGGCCTTTTGTACTTCCCAATCGTCTTAATTCAGAGGTGTATCTGAACTTTCTTCAGAATGAGCTCATGGATATAATACCATTGGATGTGCGCCAGCAGTTTCAAGAAAATATGTTTTTTCAACATGATAGCGCCCCTGCACATTTGGACGCAATGTTCAAAATTGGTTGAATGTCAATTTTCCAGACAGGTGGTTAGGCCGAGGAGGTCCTATAGCGTGGCCGCCACGTTCACCTGACCTAAATCCATTCGATTTCTATTTTTGGGGGTCATTAAAAGACCTAGTTTACTCGATTGAACTAAATACTCAAGAAGATTTACTTCAAAGAATCCATCAGGCTGCAAATGAAATAAGAAGAAAAAGGTTTTCCACTTTTCGGGCTACGCAATCATTAGTTCGTCGAGCGAGACTCTGTATCCACAACAAAATGGGAATTTATTTGAACACTTATTGTAAAGCTAGTTTCAAGTATATCCAACTGTATGTCTTCTTTTTTAAACAAATTTCAATTTCGTTCGTAGAAAAAGTGTATTTCTTTTATTTTTGCCTAAATGATATGTTGCAATAGAAATATGTATTTATGTAATATTTGCCAATTGTTAAATTAGTTTTTTCGTTGCCATGGCTAATTATGCAACAATTCATTTAAATTCGCAGTACATTTCCTATCATGTGACAAATTTTTTAGTTTGATTTTATTCAAAAATGGCACAATTTATCAATATTCAATAAGAGTACCTTTTTTTATGTAGAAAACCCTAAATTTTCAAATTCTAAAATTGGATTTCACAAATAGAATCACACAAAAATTCCGTCCCTGTTACATACGCTTCCAAACAAAACTGTCTAAAATTATTAATATTTTTAAATCCAGCATAAAAAACTAGTCTAGAATACCAAATTTTATGTCTTTCTCTCAACACGTTTCGGAAATATTAAGGAAAAACCATCTTCAGGGGAGCCCCTTTAAAAGACCGTAGCGCCCTTAGGGGACGTTTGCAACCTATGTTTATATAAACTTTTCTTCCTATTTTAAGCTCTAGAAACCGCTGGTAGAATATTGCACACTTTTTTCGGGACACCCTGTATATACAGGGTAGGGTGACTTCGAAGTTGGGTCATTTATTTTAACAGTGAGTAGATCTGATCAAAAGAAATGTTTTTTCCTTTGACATTTTTCTGGTAAAATTGAATTAACAAAGTTATAGCCCTTTAGAAGTTTGAGTACCGCCCTGTCTCAATAATAATATTGTGCTCGTGTTTGGCAACAACGGATATAATCCGCCTTATCGGTTCATCGCATCGGAAACAAAAAAGCGAAAGAATTTGAAACGTTTATCACGATGTCAGTCAATGTTTCAGTCGGTAACGCGTGAGTGAATAGTGGTGTTTGTTGCGTGGCTCAAACGAAATAAAAAATGGCACATGTTTACGAAAATGATGAACTTGTGGACATGATTCTTATTTAATCGAGTGCAACCAACTCCTCGTGCCTTTGTTAATGTAGTACAAAGGGCTCGTGAATCAGGTGACTTAAGACCTCACAGAGGAGTCCATGCCGGTGCTCCAAGACCGCACGAACAAATACAGGTCCGCACTGAAATACTTGTCGGGAGGATACTTTATAAAACAAGGTAACATTTTTTTTTTAATTTTTTTTTAATTTTTACACACATATTTTGGTTTATCTTCCTCCTACAATCATTATCTGAAAATTAATGACTCAACTTCAAAGTCACCCTGTATATATATATATACATATATATATATATATATATATATATATATATATATATAGAAACAACTACCCTTGAAATAACAAAGGTAATGTGTAGTGAAACGAGGGCGACCAAGTAAAAAAAAAATAAAGGAAAAAGTACTCACTCTCCAGTTGACGAGAAGGGCTAAGTACGTCTCTGCCCGAAATCATACCGCTCTTCACGCAGCGTTTGCCACACTTTAGTTTTTGATACTTGCACTTCTCTAGCCACGTCTCTAGTGCTTGTTGAGGGATTCTCGTCTACGCGATTACCTCTACAGGCGTGACCGTAACCGTCGGTTGAAGGTTGCATACTAACCTGACACACTGACCCCGACCCAGTTCTGTCGTCGGGTTGAGCCAGTGACATTGTACCACTCCGTGATATCGCGGCTACAGGACGGTATTCAGATATTTTTGATGTTGCAGAGCCCTTTATCTCGGTTCCCTTAAGACATTGGTGTTTATGGTACTAAGAAAAATTGCTTATGTTTTCAAGATCTACACGTCGTGTAAAGGAAAACCCCAACTTTGCGGACACCCTGTATATATATATTTCTATCTATTCTGCTCTTGGAGATCGAACGGGTAACCAGCGTAACATAGGCGTTCTTATATTTTTTCCAGAGGTATTATTTTTAGTTATCTTAAAAACTACAACACAAACTTTTTCAAGACTACCGGTAGATCTGCCAGGCAAAATTTAAGTTACTATAAATTAGTAGATGAAACATTGCATTAAAAATTATTTTTCAAAAATAGGGAACGAAATAACAAGAAGGTTGTTGATAGCCAAGGACGACAAATTATATTCAATGTGTTTGAATATATGATTCGAGAAAAGGAAACACGAAAATTAATGCTTAGCCGTTTATTTGAGAGAGTAGCTGAAGATACAGGTGTATCCATAATTACTGTGTGCATTTTGTTAGAGAAAATCACTCCAAACCACCGAATACAAAATTTACTTCTCTTCGAAAGACCATAAACAAATTTAGTCCATAATCGTCAGTCGATCAATTTGATGAAGAAATTATTAGAAATGTTATATTCAAGTTCGTGCATATCCATAAAAGGAGACCTACAATGAAGACGGTATACGATGCTGTTATCAACGATGATGTAGCTCCTAATGGAAAGCTCACGTCATTCAGGAAAATAGTAAGCAAATTGGGCTTCCGTTGGAAAATAACAGAGGGTAACAGGAAGGTACTGATTGAAAAGCCGGAGATCAGAGCGCAACGGACAGAATACTTGAGAAGACTGAAAGAGTACAAAGATATAGGTGTGTAGAGATATTTCAAACTTAAGAATACAAAATTTATGATGTTTTTCAGTATAAGAGAATTTGTTTTAATCTTTTAACCATAGAAAAACTTTTGTATTCAGAAATATCGTTTACGAAACATACATACATAGCTCACACGCAGTAAATCATTTTACATTGTAGGGGTAGAAATGGTTTTGTTCCCAATGCAGACCTCATATTTAAATCAGGTTTAAAAACAGGAATGGATACAAGAAAAACTAATACCTAATTTAGCACCAAATTCTGTATTAGTATATTTTAGTGTTTTCGAACAAACTGTGTATTAATCGGCTTTAGTCAGTAATTTGTGAAAATGATTAATTAACTTTGTCAACTTTTGAGGATGTCAAAAAAAAACTGACCGAAATCCTTACATTTCATGTAATCACAAAATAAGCAGAACAGTTATGTTTGTTTTTTAACTCTCTTTTCTAGATGATATTTATAACAATGCTTACAGGATTAGGAAATTTCCATAATCATGAAATTACACACAAACATGGTATATGTTAGGATGCACTCGTTCAACTCTGTACTCTGTGTCCATCCACCTCCCCTCTCGGCCATTGCACGACTCACGAGAAAGCGTACTAACTATATTTAAGTGTTTGAAGATTGGTTCAAAGCAGTCTTACCAAAATTAGAACCCGATTCCGTGATTGTCCTAGATAATGCTTTATATCACAGTCGTCGAACAGAAAATCTTTCCACTTTAAAACGGAGAAAGTTAGAAATTTATAATTGGCTCGTGTCAAAAAATATACCATGCGACCTATCGATCCTCAAAGCAGAGAGAGCAAATCGCTCGTCAGCATAAGGGTAGGTACAAGAAATTAGTGAAATAGCAAAGGAAAAGGATTTATGGTTTTGATATTACCTCTGTACCACTGCGAATTCAACCCAATCGAGTTGTTATGGGCTCGAATAATAAACGAGGTAGCTTGTAAGGATAATACTTTTAGGATGGCAGATGTGCGTATTCTTTTAGAAAATGCCATTAAGGGTATAACTGTGTCACGTGGCAGAATTTCATAAGGCATGTAGTCAATGAAGAGCAAAAGTTCTGGCATTTGGCCATTCCATAAAGCGGATAATCGAACCACTGGTAAATAACTTAAATGATGACAATGATAGCGACAGTACTGACTGCTCGAATGATGGTGAGTCATAAAACCGCAGCGCAGCTGACTACCGTTTGTTCAATTGAATATTTTTTATTTATATTTGCTCCCATTTACGTTATACATATATTATTCATAGTAGTTTTAGATTTCTTTTGCATAATCAGAATTTATCGTTTAATTTTGATGCGTCCTTCAGTTTCAGCACATTTAATTTTTTTATTTGTATTTTCAAGTTTTAGAGATTAATCATATTTATTTTTCATTTTGTTGAAACTGAGAGACGGGTGGGGGGAGGGACAGGACTGGATATGCAACCACCTCCCCGTGGCGAGTCCTGGGTAGCCCGAACATGCTAGCTGAGAGCTGCATTAACGTTCTGACAAATTAATCCATTTTTTCTAAAATTAATCAGTTATAGGTCGCTGCTCTAGCTATTTCTATTTAATGATCAGTGTTGCAAAGTGATGAGGTGAATTCTACTTTTTAACCCTTTCCGAAATGGAAGTATCGTCGCGCCACTGTGGCAGTCTCTATTCAAAGAAGTGGAGAATGAACCTCGCTTTCCATTGATGTCAACAGTTTTGGTGAAGAACTATAGTAATGAAAAATAGGTTGGACCAATTATTCTTACTTAGGAACATACCTTCGGCCTACAATACAACCTCAGTATCCTTAGGCTGATATCACGGATTTCTTCTTCTACAGCTCCAAAGATTGTATACCAGGCGGGATTCTTTGGCAAGGGTAACTTCAGCTTCCTAGCAGTCAAGTAAATGCAAGCACACGCAACGGTTTCTGGTTGGTACCTCACGAATACGTCCGTCCTCAACGAGTCGTTCATGTAGTTCCATGAATACTGCATCAGCTTCTGGTGATTATGGTATCCCAACACTTGTAAGTACATTACAATTATCTGGAAATTATAATGGATACTACAAGAGGTCTGTCGCAAAATAAATAGGACAAAGAAAAAAATGTACAATTTTTTTTTGTTTCGGACAATCGAATGTATTATATATATATATATAAACTTGAGACGTGGTCATTGTCGTCTAGACCAGTTAGGGGAAAAATTAAAGCTTGGGCTTGGGTACTTCGAAGTAGTACCCAACAAAAGGCGGAAGCTTTAATTTTTCGTATATATAATATATATATATATATATATATATAACTTATATAAACTTTTAGGCTAAAGTTGACTCTTTTGACGAGAAAATCAAGCTTTTGGCATTCTCTATGGAGCCATCATCAGGATTCTGAAAACACAATTGTGATGCTAGCAAAGAAAACAGGACATATTTAAATTGTCAGACAACTTACTCGTCGGTGAGGTTGCAGCCACAAGGTGTTTCAAAACGAACGTAGAGAAGATCGAACTTGTAATCAGTATAAAAACAAAAGGACGGGGACATTGGGCTTGTTGAAAAACGACAGATACCTTCGTTACATGTTAAAAATATCAATCAATAACAACACAGGTCACTCTATGAATTATGGCAGTATTGAGGTTCTTGATAAATAAAAAAGAATCTCAAAACGTTTATTTTTAGAAATGTCCCACATTTTCATGATAGATCATTGCATGAATAAAAAGGCTGATGCTAAGCAGCTCAGTGTCATTTATTCCTATCTGTTGAATTGCGAAAAGCTAGAACGGCTACATATCCAAATTGAACCAACATCTTCACAAAATTAGAATACATTTTCTCACTCACTTTTTTAATATAAACTCGCATAACCCATCTTTTCAAGCTTTAATGTTTCACCTAACTGGTCTAGACGACAATGACCACGTCTCAAGATATATATATATATATATATATATATATATATATAAACCGGTAAGTATTAGTACTCCGAATCGCTTAAATCGGATGTATCGGCTATCTTTCAAAAGTCCTGTTTACTTTGCCACAGACCTTGTAAGTCACAACTTACCAAATCTCAATGCAACTGATTCGGGGGTGTATCAAGGAACTTTTATTTCTAAAGTTTAGTACAATTGGGATAAATCGGCTGTGTGTGCGTATTAACGCGTTTAGTCTGTTTAAAGGAGTATTCTTAATACTTTTAGTCTAAACGTTTCTTCTATGGAGATGACTTAAAAACAATATTATGATTTTTTGTCAAAATGCATTTTTCATCAATTTTTTCAACAATCGTAACTCGTTAACAGATAATAGTACAGGTCTGAAATTGTTTGAGATTATTCCACATTTATAGAAGATTCATAACATTTTTTCCTCAAAAAAGCTAAGCTTTCCTCAAAAAATTACACGAAAAAAAAAAGTAATTACAATAGTTTACTATAAATGTGGAATATTCTCATACAATTTCAGAGAGTACAATTATTTGTTAACGAGAGTACTATTTTTTATTAACGAGATGCATGAAAAATGTATAAAAACGCACTTTTTCAAACAGACTGCTGGAAAAAGGAATGTGCGACCTTAATGTAAGTCTCAACTAGATGATTTCTAGTTAGAACAAGATCTGTCGCAGAGAAATATATCCCATACAAATAGCGCCATCTATTATCGCGTTGGATAGGGAGATCTTTCATTGATGCTCTATTAAAATTTAATGACAATCGAACCACTTCACGCGGAGTTATCGCGCTCAAAGTGACACTACCTTTTCGGCATCAGTCGAAAAATGAGCATCGAACAAAGAGCCAATATAAGTTCTATGTTAAAATTGGTAAAACATTTACCGAAACGCATCAGATGTTGGTGCAAGTGTATGAGATTGTTTATCTCGTAGCCGAGTCTACGATTGGTGTACACGGTCACGAGTCGCTGGAAGACGACGAACATGAATTTGGGCAAGTTCACTGTTTGTTCCGCACAAGCTCACGGATGACCAAAAATTTCTTTGAATTCAACATTTGGAGAGACCTCATTAAAGAGGCCAAAAAAGACAAATCTTTCTGTACAACATTGTGGCTGGTGACGAAATGTGGTGTTTTCAATACGATCCCGGAACCAAGCATCAAAGGGGCCGAATGGAAGCATCCAAGCGAGCCAAATCCGAAAAAAAAACCATTTGGAAAAGTCCAAAGTGAAGACACTGTTGAATGCTGTATTTTATCTTGGTGTTATATTGCGTTTACTGTCGCGTATTCGTCGTTCTGTCAGACTATCGCGAAGAAGGAAGCTGGCGCTTGTTGCACGATAATTCACCATCTCATCCGATCGACGCTTGTGTCAGATATTTTGACAAAAGATGTCATCTTTTGGTCCGTGCAAATCGCTGGATTAACTCTGAAGGAGACTATTTTGAATAAAATAAATTCAATTTTCCGAAACAAAAAATGTTTGTTCATTTTTTTCTTTGTCCTGTTTAATTTGCGACAGACCTTGTAAAAACGCAATTTTTCAAACAGAATGCTGGAAAAAGGAATGTGCGACCTCAATGTTAAGCCTCAACTAGATGATTTCTAGTTAGTATATCACAACATCCAGTAGCCTTAGCGAAACGACACTACTAGGAATCAAACTTACCTTGTGAGGATGTTTTATATGAACGCAAAACCCTAGCTCCTTGAGTATCCTCCGTTCAGCTTTGATAATGAGGTTCTTTAGATGAATGTAATTCTGGTCCAGGATAACCGGTTGAATTGTTCTGCACAGAATTGGATAAAATATATCAATCACATTCATAAACTAGAATGAAAAACTCGTGGTACATTACTACATTGAATAACATAACATAAACATGCTCGTATGGGATCTCGTTCAACATTTCCTGGATTCTTACTGAGATATGCTTAACGATTTAAACTATATTATGTTTATTATAAAATAAACTATAATAATAGAAATATCAACTCATTTTGGGCATTTTTCTTAAAAATCTTTTGTATTTTTGGAATGTATAACTTTTAAGCTGATTGAATAGTCGTATAAATAAACCTTTTTATGTTGATCACAAATTAAGTCGTTTTATTATATTATTATGTAGGCTGACTCCCAAAGATGTTACAGCTTTGCTTCTAAAATTTCAGCTTCACAAGAAACTAATGTGAATTCACGTAGAAGGATGGCTACAATCGTCGGCTTACTTCCAAAACAAGATAAGTACATTTTTAGCATTTTTGAGTTAAGTGCACTTTTGCAACCAAAATGGTACAATTTATGTTGTGCCAAAACCAGATATCTTCATATTGTACGGAAGAGTGTTGTTCGCATGTGTCAAAAATAGACTAAATTCAATATGAGACACTTAAGTACAGCTACAACAAGACATGTGCACTTGCGATTAACGACGTTCGAATTATAGTATAAGATTGCTAGTTTCTTTACAGCGAAAATAAGTCATAAGGCACTTATCTGATTTTGACAGTTGTGTTTCAGTGCTAATATAAGAATTTTAGAGTCAGAATGAGATAAGTACCACTTGTCGGGTATTTGCTGTACCGGTGTGAATCAAGGATTTCTTCATATATGTGGTAGTTATCTTGTTTTGCTTGTACACATTATGTTATCTGTCTGTGTGATAGTTGTATTAAACACGCACTTGTCTTGTTTTGGCAATATATCATAGCAAACATAACCTGAAAACTGCTTATACACGTGGTAATACGCAGTGTATATTCCGGCATTTCTAAGTAGTTTATAACGAGTTCTAGTGAAATACATAGTTCGAAAGCATATTGTCTCGTGGCATGTATCTTATTATGGTGGCCACTGGTAAAGAACCAGCTGCAGGTAAGGTTTTACTCAATTTTGGTGGAGTTTTAACTATGTAATTTGCACGCTGTATTTTTGTCGGGCCATTGAGCATCGAGTAGCCTAGTTTCAACGCAGAACAATAATCGGCAATGCTAGATATTTCTAAATTTGAGTTGAGGAATAATATTACCGATTGTTCATTTTGCTTGTGATCCTAGAAGTACAAAAGACGTGAAAGATATTTCACATAAGAACAGTGCACCCATATTATTTTTCTGTTTTTGTTGGTGCATTAGGCGAAAGTGGGGAAAATTTAAATTTACCAGAAGCAGACTGGGAGAAAATCATCCAAATGAAGTAGCGGGCCCATCTGGTGAAAAAAAAAATGATAGAAACGATTTGTCGTCGACTCTGAATTCAGAATAAGAACAGATTCTTGCGGAATTGGACGACATGTGTGGAGATTCGGACTGTTCCATAAAGGATAAGGACTATGTTCCAGAATCTTCAGCTTCAGAGTACGACTCAGACGAGGGTAAGTTCAATATTCATTCACAAAGAGTAATATTACAGTACTTTTTTGTTGCAGACGATCCTCCAATGAATAATAATGATATTGACATGATATCTGCTGTTACAAGAACAAGTCGATGGAAAAAGTCTAATCCCAATCGGTGGAAAAAATCTAGTTAAGCGTCAAAGAATTGAGGAGAAGGCTCCTAAACGCGTCGATTGCACGAAATGCCGGTTTAGGTGTTCGGATAATATGACCACTGAACAACGTTTTGAAGTTTGCAAAAACAGTTTACGAATTGGCTCCTCCTAACTCAGCATTTTGCTATGTGTGGACAGAGCTAAATGGAAAGAAAGGCAGTTCAGAAATTGGCACCTGCTTATACAATTACATAAATCAGCTATCTTCTGATAGCACCAAACTATCGTTGTTTTCCGACACATGCAGTGGTCAAAATCGCAACCAAAATATTAGCGCTCTTCTGCTGTACGTGGTCCAAATTAATTCAAACATACAAGTAATAGAGCAAAAGTTTTTAGAAACCGGACACAGCTACATGGAAGTCGACACTATGCGCAGTGCGATTGAGAAGGCGCAGAAGTTCCTTCCTGTTTATACAATTCAAGACTGGTTGACAATTTTCCGCATGGCCACAACGTCAAAGTCGAATAAAAAACCTTATAATGGAGTTAAAATATGATTTTTCCAATTTAGAAAATTTATCGAAAACTCTAATAAAAAACAAATTGAAGAACACCAAGGGCGAAAAAGTGTATTGGCTCAAAGTGAAGTGTTTTAAGTACACTAAATCCAAGCATTTTATATTACAGTATAGGTACGATCATACATCCGATTATATGGAAATAAACGGTTTGGGTAAAGGTCGACCTATACAGCCAAACCAAACTGAAATAACGAATGCATATAAAGAATATAGACCAATATCAACACAGATTTGCTTAAACTTTGCAAAAATAATGTTAAATGATCTTGTTCCAGGACCAGCAGCGGAGGATTCTGATCCCGAAGAAGAACCGGAGTCAGAAGAGTTAAATGGCTAACATATAAGAACCTGTACATCTAAAAGAAGATAAGTGCAAGAAAAATTGCGTTTTTTGTTAATAAGTAGTCGTTTTTTCAAATGTGATTATTTTTTGCTGTTTTGTTCATAATTCCATTAAAATTTAGTTTGTTTAAAAAAATAGTCTTTAATTCAATTGTGCACTTTTTAATCTAAAACCAAAGTTTAAAACCCCAATATCTAAAAACTAAAAAAAACGTAAGTTATCTGGTTTTGGCAGTAACCTGACGCAATATTGATTTAATAGTGATTTCAGCTGTATAACTTTTAGACTAAAACAAGTGATTCATTAGTTGAAAATGACAGAAAATCTCTTACCAGTCGATCGGACGGCTGTGGCTGAAGAAGGATTTTAAAACAATCTTCCATAAAATATACTAAGTGCCGTAAGAATATGCGGACAAAAAAAAAATGTTAAAAAGGACCTCTTAACGAATCTGCATGTTGAGAGGCCTCAAATTACTAGGTCAGGCAGTTTTTAAACAAATTCCAGAAATTCTTTTTTTAGTTCCGGACAAGGTAGTCAACTGCATCTCTGGCGCTCACTCACAAAATAGAGAAGAGCTTAAAAATTATTCACAATAACAGCAACCCCTAAAATGTTTTGAGATTATGTTAATGGATGTTTGAACAATATTTAAGAAGTTTGGTGTCGAAAATATCGCATTTTCCATTTTCAAATATTGAACCGCTTATATCTCGAAAACTATTAACTTTAGGTTCATATGAACCTTTTCCGTTTAGAATGATACAAAAACTTAGACAAAAAAAAGTGTCCGAGGAAAATAACAAGTTTTGACGCAAGAAAAACGTATAAGAACATTACATGGCATTTGAATAAATAACTGCCTAATGACTTTTGACATATGTTTCAAGCGATATCTAACAAAAGTCACTCTTTAGCGCTGAACTGGCGTTAGACGCGCATAATAACAGCAACAGTGTGATTTAAAAATACACCACTTATCATGTTGTTATGGTTTACTATCGCTGAATGCGAACGGTAAACAAATGTTAAAATTTAAGTGGCACCTCAAGAACATCGTCACACATTTTGCCGATGTACAAAGGAAGCATACGTGCGCCGTTTTCTACCGGTTTTCTTCTGCGGCCCGGATAACGTAAAGGAGGTGAGTTGGAAACTATTAAAAATTCACGGATTATGAAAGACCACGCAATTGATAGTCTACTCCAAAAACGGCCTAATTTATATTCTGGTCAAAGAAATATATTGCAAAATGTTTATGACGCACTCCGAACACGATTTCCAGAGCAACCATAAAGAGATATCGTTCAACTCTGTAGCCATATGACAAAGGTATCTACCATTTTCAGAATCATAAGGGAAAAAACGTAATGTGTTCGGTAATAGCAAAAATGCAAAAACAGGGTCGTAAACAAGTGATTTTAAATGATGATATTAAGTACGCAATCCGTCGGAAGGTGCACTCGTTTTATTTGAGGAGAGACAATACAAAAACTACAGCACACTTTGAATACTGACGATAATCTACCAAAAATATCCCAGCGTGTTTTGCTAAGAACTTTACGAGAAATTAATAGCGATGCTGGCTTTGTCGTTGGAGGATTGAGCGTCTTCTAATCACGAAGAATTGAAGATTATCATGAAGATATGAACGCACAAGAGAACAACAGAAGAGCAAAAAAGCTTGCGAATGGGTTTATCGTTGCAACACCTCACGAAATACAAGCAAAACGGTAATCTTGGTGTCGTTATTTTGAACCATTCAGTAAGCAGTCATCAATGCAATGTAAACACGCAAATTCTCCGCCACCAAACAAGTTTAAAATTCAACCTCCTCCAGACAAGGTCATGTTAACATTTTTTTCTAAGACCATGAAGGACCCTTACTCATAGTTTAAACAGCCTAGAGTCCATATTAACGCAAACCTGTATAGTGAAACTTTGAACATCCCATCAAACAATAAGACGAAAATGTCCAGGGAAGCTCTCACGTGGTGTCATTCTTCTGCACGACAATGCCCAGCCTAATGTTGCCATAGTAGTGAAAGAGAATCTACAACGAAAGAAATGGAGAATATTAAAGCATCTACCCTATATTATCGCCTTGCGATTTTCACATCTTTGGGCCACTGAAAAAGGCGTCAAAAGGTAAGCATTTTCAGTTCGACGAAGTACAAAATGCCGTAAAACAATTCTTCATGCAGCAGCCACAAGAATTCTTTAAGTAGGGTATACCGTAAAAGATTGGTGAAACAATGGGATATGTGCCTTAATTGTAGTGGTAATTGTCTGTAGATATACGAGTATTTGACAATAATTTTTTTCTGTACCAAAGATGGGTTTCAATTGAACAAGCCCCGTATAGGTGCGTAGAACTACCGGAGTTGGAGGCGTATAAATATAACGTCAAAAAATGTATATAAACCTACACCACCCTCTGCATCCCCTAAACCCCAATTTTTAAAGCCAACATTTTTTTTCTAAAAATGATAGGAGCCTCTGAAACAAAAAACGACGTTTGTACGATCTTTTTTTCATTTTTGGCTCTTTAGTCCGCTGCCACTGGACCGACAAAGCTTTTTCGTCCTTGGCATAACAGTAACCTTGTGTGCAAATTTCATCAAACTCCGACTGGTACTTTCCAAGTTTTAGACGGACCAAGGATTAGCGGACAGACAACTTTATCCGATAGCACTTTTTCGAATACACAGAAAATATTACATGAAAAACTTCATATTAGACCCTATAACTTTTCTATAAAATTTTTATTCTGGAAGATAAAAAAGATATAGGGTGGATCTATTCATAGCCAGATACCATGTACATACAATTAGTCCATAGACATTATTTCCCTGCCCTACAGTTAGTGCATCTGGAAACGCCGTCTCCCCCCGATACTTAAGCTCGGTCAGACGTGGCAGCGCCGTCAAAGCATAGGAAGCAAAACACTATGCTGTGACAGAAATACGTGCGACACCACACCAGAACACTCCGCAACTGTGGCCGGTAGACTCGCGATCCGTCTGCCGAGAATACTATGCCAAGGAAGCAAAAACTGTAGTTTTTGAAAGTAGGTCCAGTGGCTGCAGAGAAAAAGGCCTATAAACGAAAAAAGTGAAAATCGCTCAAATTTTGTTTTTGTCATTTCAAAGGATTCAGATTCATTTTTGCAAAAAAATTAGAGGTCAAAAAACTTGGTGGTCGGGTGGTTGTAGGGGGTAGACGGTTTGTCTTAATTTTTTGATGTTAGTGCACTCACAAGCTTAGTAATGGTACACACCTCTTAGACTTATTTGACACATCATGGATTTCTCTGTACATTGGCTCTTAAAAGTAACAATTTTATGTTTTGATGTCCTGACAAAGTTTCTGAACTATTTTTTTAAAACAACAATGCCACTATAAATGTTCTAAAAAGTTTATACAACTCTTATGAAAGGACGCACTCTTGTGCACCAATTTTATTCTTTAATTTGTCTTAATATGGCTCCCACAGCTTTTACCGGATGCTTGTTCAAACGTTTTTAAAATTACTATAAAACATGGTACGCAACAATTATAAAAAGTTTTATTGAAAACAGTTATAGAACTAGAATAACACAGTTTTATAGAAGTTGCTTTATTATCTTAGATGCAACTTTCTTGTTTTGACTGACACTGAAAGTTTGCTTGGATTGTTAAATTGCGCCCACTGAAAATAATTTGTTTTTAATGATCCTTGATACAACAAAAAGGCAATCATAGATTTTTTTAGCAAATAACATATGTTTGAATAACTGCATCAGCCATGTTGCATTTAGTCCTGATATATTCATACACCCAATACCAGAAAGACAGATATTCGCTTTGTAATCTGATGGTTGATATTTTACTGTGCAAGACATGTTTTTGTATAATATATGGGATGTAGGTATGTAGCAAAATTTTTAAGCACCGTAAGTATATTTGGTATTATTGAATTTTAGGAGAAAAGGTAATTTCCATTATGTATTTTCTCTTCTTCTGGCATGTAAACACCAAAGTAGTAAATTGAGACAAACTATCACTGAAAATGATTTTTTCTAATACGCTTAAAAATGGCCGTCGTAAATTCACGTTGAAATAACAAAATATAGCTTCCATGTTATAAAATACTTCTACCACCTTGAGAGGTCCTATAAAACGTTTTTGATATATAAGAGATTTTAGTAAAATATTTAATTTATGTTTACAGGATTGCAGTTAACTGGAGATGTTTTACGGAAAAAAGGGTTAGTGTAAAAAAGTCCATGCGTGTATACCCGGTGCTACAAATTCCATGCATAACTATTGCTATCTTGTTAACCGCTAAAGAGGCGTAAATTTAATAAGAATGTGGATTTCAATGCTTGTTGACAATTAGCAAACATATTTTATAATTTCCAACTTTCCGTGCTATTTTATTTCATATTTGCTTTAGTACTGCACTTAGAACGCAATACTGTTTTAATAAAATTGCCAGTAAGATAATTGAGCTGTTAAGAAGTGTTCTACTTTACAAGGTAGTCGTAAGAACGTTCTTAAAGCAAAAATACTAAACAATTTTAGGACAAATTTTAATATTGTTTTATAAATGTTCACACAGCAATTTTATACGACATTTAAGCTTAACGAACAAATTTGTTTCATAATAGATTTATACTGGTATTATTTGATACGAGTGTTAGTCGTTTGCGAACATCACTAGAATTGTTTTATTAGCGCTATGTGAATCATTTTGAATTTATTTAATAATATTTTCTTTTTTATATTATCGGTCACCAAAGCATATAAAAAAACAAAAAAAAGGTTTGTGAGGATACAAAAACATTTATACATTCACAAAAACGTATAATTGTGGGACTTCTTTAAATTTGTTTAATTTTAAAACGGGGTATGGTTGATTATGCAATGAAATCCATATGCTTGCATTAATTTAACAGACCTCGGATAGATGAAAATTATAAAACATCTTTCCTTAGAGAGCGACTATATTAAAAAGAAAATATGAACAAGTTAATTTTATAATTGTTCCACTGAGCGCTAATACAACCATTTTATTGATGTTCGTAAACGAATAAACTAATAAACTCGTA